CCACTCGGCGAGTTCTCTCCACTCGGCGAGTTCTCTCCACTCGGCGAGAAACCAACATGTTTGCATTGTCGGGCAAATGCATCTTTGTTTGCAAACAGTGGGGAAGGTGGGGGCTCTCCGTCTCCAGCTGCCGTGTTTGCTCCCAGCTGGGAACACGGAATGGGGTTTTGTGTTTCAGGTGCAGTTTAAGGTTGGTCGTATTGCTAGCTTTTGTTGCTACCTTTTTAAAACAAATGCGACACACCGCCCGGCTCATTCAAGTTCGTAGGTTCGCCTCGTTGATTTGGCTTAAATCCAAAATATTCCCACACCGGAGATGTGGTATTAGGTTTTGCAACCAATTCCATTTCACTTCAAATTCCCCTGGAGTAAGTCACACGTTGTCTCCTGCTTGTCTATTATTCATTTGGCTGCTACGCTGCTGCACGCGGAGTGTCCTGACCTGGCTGTGTGTGAGCCCCTCACAGCGCGCCGGGCCGGTAGAGTGGCCGGTCACTTCTATTTCGTATATGGCTTAGCCCTCTAAGGCTATCGCTATTGGGTAATCCCCCTGCGCACCCGCGCAGCACTGAAAACACTTGTAGTCCACGCCCGCCCGCAAGGTGGGCCCCACCCTCGGGCTCCCTTCCGGTATAAATAGGAAGGAGGCCCGACAATCTGCTCCCTCTTTTTCTTCAGCACCCCGTTACTGAAGCACAAGAGACACTTTCATTAACAGAGCAATCATGAGCAGCAATTGTGTGAGAGATTGTCCCTCATGTGGCTCTGGATACATTATGGGTTACGACCAGCACACGATGTGCGAATCCTGCCTGGGGCCAGAGCACGCATACGCGGCTCTCAGCCAGCAGGTCGCATGCACACACTGTGCCCGTCTCCCCGCGGACGACAGGAAGCGAAGAGCGGACGCTCTCGCTGCTGTGGCCGAGGAGGACGATTGGCCCGTCCAGGCTTTCGAGCCCGTGGACGGCGGCCTCATGTCCCTGGAGCCGAGTGCCGGGCAGGTGTCGGACGACTCCTACCCCGCCTCCCTCCACGGTTCACCGTACGGTTCTCCCCTCCCTCCTCTCCCCCAGACGGGGGAGACAGAGTCGGAGCAGGGTGCCGGCTTGGCGGACGAGCACGCGGTCCCCTTCTCCGTCACCACGGCGCTGCCGGTGATAGGTGGCATGCTGGGGGAACTACCGGAGATCATATGCAAGGCGGCCGCCTGCAGAGGTCTCCCCGTTCCCCCAGCTCAGGAGAGGTGTGCTCCGGACGATATGACCGGAGTTTTTTCGCGGGTGCAGACGGTCAGGAGTGACCCGGTCTGGCCACGCTTCCCCGCCATCAGGAGGTACCAGGAGGGGGCGGCGGCGAACCCGAGGACCCTGAAGGCTCCGGTGGCCACATTTGTTCCCCTCACCAAGGTGGAGGGGTTCACAGATGCTGGTTTCCCAGCCACCCCTTCTTTGGAGCCGAGCCTGACGGCGTTTTTTGGGGTGAGACAGGCCAACGTGATCGCCGGACGGCGCCCTACGTTGGCCTCCCCCAGGGACCAGTATGTCGCCTGCCAGGCCGACCGGGTGCACCAGTGTGCCTTTCAGGCGGCGGCGAACAACATCGCGCTGCTCTCAAACTCGGTGGTGACGCTGGTGGAGCGGTCCACCACCTTGGCCGCTGATGAAGCGGAGGAGATCGGCAAGGCGGCCAGCACGGCGCTCACACTGTGCGCGTCCGTCGCTGTCTCCCAGGCGAGGATCGCCGCGTGGGTGACGCAGATTCAGCGCCACCTCTGGCTGCAGCAGGCGTCACTTACAGAGACGGCCAGGAAGGTGCTTCTGGACGCTCCAATCAGTCCGGACGGGCTGTTCGGACCCCAGTTCCACGCCATGGTGGAGTCCATGAAGTCGGCTGCAGAACAGGCGGACGACATCCGCCAGCACGTCAGCTGGCTCCAGCCTGCTGGGCGGCCACAGCGGCATCAACGCCCGCAGCAGCCGCAGCGTCCGACCCGGCCACAGTGGCAGGCGGAGAGACGCCCACAGCCGCGGCGTCAGGGTCCTTCAGCGGCTGCAGGGGCTCCGTCCCACGTCTCCGCTCCCCCGCCACCCCAGAGACAAAGGGGTCTTCCAGCGGTGGGTCAACGGGGAGTGAGGCACTCCCGCTCTTGGTCGGCTCCACCAGAGCCTCCGAGGAAGCAGAGACGTTTTTGACGTGTTGGGGTTGTGTGGAAAATAAAAGGAGAGTTCATTTTCCAAACTTTTTGTCTGAGTCATCAGTATCAAGTGTTTTCTCACCCCCCACTCTGTGTAAGAGCCTGCACTTTTTAATCTATCGGTTAATAAACTGCAGAGTTCGCTAACTAAGCCAGCTGCCACCAATCTGTTGATTAGTAGACAGCAGGGCTCGCTGCAGAAGCCTGCTGGTTTTAACCTATCGGTTAGTGAACCGCAGAGCTCGCGGCATTCCTCTGTCCGTGATACGTCTCCTCCACACATAATAAACCCATGAGCGCAGTTATGACGTCTCATGTGGACGTCACGACACACACCTCCACTCATCCCCTGAGCGTGTACACGCCTCATGATGAGAGCCGGAGTGAAACGCAGCGTGTGGAGGCTCCCTCACAGCCCTTTTGCCAGGCCCACCTTGGGTTGCCTCACGGGCTGCGGCGGCGAGGGCTCTGACGTGGCTCGTCGCCATGACGACCACAACACATCTCGAGCATGTGCGTCCGATCCCCATGGGTCTCCCCCACAGGAGGAGACTCCAGAGGTGGGTCATTCGCTGCAGAAGCCTGCTGTTTTAACCTATTGGGTTATAAACTGCATAGCTCGCGGCATTCCTCTGTCCCAGATATGCCTCCTACAGAGCACGGTCATGACGACCATTACAGCATATCACAGAGAAGCCTCTCCAACGGGGGAGTGAGACCCATCCTTGATCTGTCAGTATTCCCATGCTGACGATCAAACAGGTGCTGGAATGTGTTCACCAGGACGACTGGTTCACTTCCACCTGAAGGAGGATGCATACTTCCATACCCACCATCCCGAAACACAGGGAATTCCTGCGTTTCTCTTTTCAGGAAATATCAGACCAGACAATCGTCTGCTGTTTGGATGTTCCCTGGCTCCTCGCATTTTGTGTAGAGAAGGCTGGAGCCACTACACAGAGAGGAGGGATGAGAATGAGGTTTTTTCTCTGGACGACCTTGCTGCTAGGCTCGATCCAGCATGAGGAAGTCGCTTTACAGACGTTACATCTCGTATCGCATCTGTCAAAGCTCAAAGATCCCCATGGGTCTCCCCCACAGGAGGAGACTCCAGAGGTGGGTCATTCGCTGTTTTAACCTATTGGTTTATAAACTGCATAGCTCGCTCGAGTTGTCCTCTTCCCCCCCAGACATTCATTTATCTGCGAGTGGAATAAAACTCAGCAACAGAGTGCGGCTCTCGCTGCAGCGAGTGGAGGAACTGACAGCTCCCTATCCAGCGTGTCACATCCCACAGCGTGGTGACAGCCCTCTCCGTGATACAGCTGCTCAGCATGACGTCAGCTGATCACGTGGGGATTCCCCGGGGTCTCCCCCACAGGAGGGGTCTCCAGAGGTGGTTCATTCGCCCATGCACCGACCCCGTGCGTCAGGGGTAAATGTGCTGGAGCTGTTCTCCGGGTTGGGAAGTATTCCAGCACTTCGCCCTGTTGCTGTACAATCAAACATGTGTTGATTCGCCCAGCCAACAGGCCACGGCAGCCTACCTCAATCGCCAGGGAGGACAGCCGTTTATGCTAAACCGGCTTCATGCCTAAGGCTAAGGTCATCACAAACTTTTTTAGGTCAAGAGTGATCACCCTGGCTGGCTTCTTTCCCCCTCCTCAAAGCCAGAGGAATGTTTCCTCCTCCACGGCTTTGCACGGAGGAATGTCAGTGGAAGACATTTGCACTGCTGCATCTTGGTCTTCTCCCTGTTCATTTATTCAATTTTATTTGAGGGATGTCTCCCATTCCTCTCTGACACACCCTGTGCTGAGTGTCCTGTCAGAGTGAGTGACGTCAGGGATCCAGCTGTGCGCCTCTCTCCTGCCTCGGCACACGGAGAGTGGCCTGTATTTCCCTCTTATGAGAGGGACGTCCCCCTTTTTTCCCCTGACACATTTCGTACGGAATGTCTTGTCAGAGTGTGTGATGTTGGGGACCCAGCTGTGCGCTCTCCTGCCTGTCTGCACACAGAGAGCTGCTATTCCCCCTCCTTCTGTCACTGGGCAAAGTGTGACCTTTCGTCTCTACTTTCTCACAGCGGCAGGTATGTATTATTCCCAGCCTTCGTCCTCTCATGGTAAATATTCATGTTATGATATATTCCAGGGACTGTGATGCGCCATTCGCATGGCGCAATAGGCATGGGTTATTATCTGAGCAGGTGTGGTTGTGCTTCTTGTACCGGGGCGACCCAGTGGGGCCCAGACTACATCTTGCTTCGCCCTTAACCCAATAGCGATAGCCTTAGAGGGCGAAGCCATATACGAAATAGAACTGAAGTTACCTACTGTAACTCCAGCTTCTATGAGTATTGGCGTAGCCCTCTAAGTTCTGGGCCCCACTGGCTCCACGAATAGCTGAAGAAAAGTTGTTTTGTGTGGGAGCAGATTGTCGGGCCTCCTTCCTATTTATACCGGAAGGGAGCCCGAGGGTGGGGCCCACCTTGCGGGCGGGCGTGGACTACAAGTGTTTCAGTGCTGCGCGGGTGCGCAGGGGGATTACCCAATAGCGATAGCCTTAGAGGGCTACGCCAATACTCATAGAAGCTGGAGTTACAGTAGGTAACTTCAGATCTTTATGTAAACAAACACGCATGTAAACGGCAAGTATTCGAGGTCAGAAAAGTTATCGAGTTCATTTTTATTTATCGTACGATAAGTCAATTAATTGCTTATCGCGACAGGCCTACATATGCAGTCACACAGTCACACACACACACACACACACACACACACACAGACACACACACACACACCTGCAGGGTGAAGCGGTCGTCATGGCTCCAGGTGACGGACAGCTGCAGAGGCTCCAGCTCATTGGACGACAGCGGGGAAGGGGGGCGGGGCTTGAGCTCCACTCTGAGCTCTGATTGGGTGATGGACAGCAGGTTGATCTGCATGAAGTCCTGCGCCGAGGAGACGTAGGCCTGCAGCCTGACAGAGAGACAGTTAGCCACCAATAGGAGCGCAGAGAGGGGTCACATGACCTGAAACACTCACTCGTCTCTGATTCGCTGCCAGCCGGTCAGCTGACACAGCGCTGCCGCTGACTCCACCACCAGCGACATCAGCTGATGGTCATAGATCTGCAATGCATTCTGGGCTTTTTGCAGAGACTCCTGCAGCTGTTCACACTGCTGCTTCTGAGGAGACAAGGAAACAAGGAGATAAAGAGTGGAAACAGGAGAGGAAACAAGGAGATAAAAAGAGGAAACAAGGAGATAAAAAGAGGAAACAAGGAGATAAAGAGAGGAAACAAGGAGATAAAGAGAGGAAACAAGGAGATAAAGAGAGGAAACAAGGAGATAAAAAGAGGAAACAAGGAGATAAAGAGAGGAAACAAGGAGATAAAGAGAGGAAACAAGGAGATAAAGAGAGGAAACAAGGAGATAAAGAGAGGAAACAAGGAGATAAAAAGAGGAAACAAGGAGATAAAGAGAGGAAACAAGGAGATAAAGAGAGGAAACAAGGAGATAAAGAGAGGAAACAAGGAGATAAAGAGTGGAAACAAGGAGATAAAGAGAGGAAACAAGGAGATAAAGAGAGGAAACAAGGAAATTAGGAGACTTTTTTGTGAAACCAAACATGATAAAGACTAAAAAGGACATTTAAATAAAACAACGACCTGTGTGTGTGTGTGTGTGTGTGTGTGTGTGTGTGTGTGTGTGTGTGTGTGTGTCACCTTGCTGTGCAGCTGTGCGACCAGCTGTGTGAGTGTGTGTCTCTTGGTGTGTATCTGTTGTATCTTCTCCTGCAGACACTGCAGCAGAGTCTCCGTCTCCTCCCCCCTCGACAGGCTCTCCATCTTCCGAGCCTTCCACCTGTGGCGAGCCCCCCCCCTCTGACACACACACACACACACACACACACAATATTTCAGACCATTTATTTATACACTACTAGTTTTTATAACAGACATAGCTTCCCAAACACAATACAAAACAGTTATCACACCCGTATTACCCTGTTATTATTACCCCCGTGTTACACTGTTATTATCACCCCCGTATTACACTGTTATTATTACCCCCGTATTACACTGTTATTATTACCCCCGTATTACACTGTTATTATCACACCCGTATTACACTGTTATTATCACACCCGTATTACACTGTTATTATTACCCCTGCATTACACTGTTATTATTACCCCCGTATTACCCTGTTATTACACCCGTATTACACTGTTATTATTACCCCCATATTACACTGTTATTATCACACCCGTATTACACTGTTATTATCACCCCCGTATTACACTGTTATTATCACCCCCGTATTACACTGTTATTATTACCCCCGTATTACACTGTTATTACACCCGTATTACACTGTTATTATTACCCCCGTATTACACTGTTATTATTACCCCCGTATTACACTGTTATTATTACCCCCATATTACACTGTTATTATTACCCCCGTATTACACTGTTATTATTACCCCCGTATTACACTGTTATTATTACCCCCGTATTACACTGTTATTACCCCCCGTATTACACTGTTATTATTACCCCCGTATTACACTGTTATTATTACCCCCGTATTACACTGTTATTACCCCCGTATTACACTGTTATTATTACCCCCGTATTACACTGTTATTATTACCCCTGTATTACACTGTTATTACCCCCGTATTACCCTGTTATTATTACCCCTGTATTACACTGTTATTATTACCCCCGTATTACACTGTTATTATTACCCCCGTATTACACTGTTATTATTACCCCCGTATTACACTGTTATTACCCCCGTATTACACTGTTATTATTACCCCCGTATTACACTGTTAATACCCCTGTATTACACTGTTAATACCCCCGTATTACACTGTTATTATTACCCCTGTATTACACTGTTATTATTACCCCCGTATTACACTGTTATTATTACCCCTGTATTACACTGTTAATACCCCCGTATTACACTGTTATTATTACCCCTGTATTACACTGTTATTATTACCCCCGTATTACACTGTTATTATTACCCCCGTATTACACTGTTATTACCCCCGTATTACACTGTTATTATTACCCCCGTATTACACTGTTATTATTACCCCTGTATTACACTGTAGTAGTGTGTTCTGTGTGTTCTGTGTGTAGTGTGTGTAGTGTGTGTAGTGTGTGTAGTGTGTTCTGTGTGTAGTGTGTGTAGTGTGTGTAGTGTGTGTAGTGTGTTCTGTGTGTTCTGTGTGTAGTGTGTGTAGTGTGTTCTGTGTGTATACCAGGGTTTGGGGGGCAGGGCAGTGTCATCAGTTGCCGGGCAGACTGTAGACCCTCCAGCAGAGACATCATGGCGTCCAGAACAAACAGCTGACGCAGCAGAACCTTCTGGATACGCCGGTTGTCCTGCACACACACACACACACGCACACTTATATAGATGCATAGTGTTAAGTGTGTGAGTATCAGATGATCAGGAGGTAAACTGACCGTCAGCTGGAGCAGCATCCTGCCGGCTTCACAGTCCCACTGATCAGATGCTGGGTCCAGGAGAGCCGGGTCACACTGCTGCAGCACACTAACACACACACACACACACACACACACACACACACACACACACACACACACACACACACACACACACACACACACACACACACACACACACACACACACACACACACACACACACACACACACACACACACACACACACACACACACACACACAACACACACACACACACACACACATTACATACAAGTACACATACATGCCCACTGCTCCTAGCACTAGGATGGGTTAGAGCAGAGAACACATGACCAGTGTGACCTTTAGAGAGGGTCTCTTCCTCCAAATCTATCAGACCAAAAGCTAAGAAGGGAATATCCCACCCCTCAGCTAAGTGTGATTTAAGAGAAGATCTTTCTGATGACTCCGCGTTGAAGTCATGCATGTAGAGTCAGTGTAAAGCTGGATGTTTATTTACATTCACTTGTAAATAATATATATATATAATATACTTGAAAAACTATACAATATAGGCTTTGAGCTGGTTTTTTGAATGACCAGGAAACATGCTAATGTTACATCCAGATAGAAGATGTCTCCCAGCCCACTACACCACCATACACTGTGTATATTGTATACACAGTGGAGCCTGTACTGGCTGAGTGATTGCGGATGTCTCCCAGATGAACAGTATTATTATCCTAGCTAGCCTAGCTAGCCTAGCTTGTGACACCTCCTGAATAGTGTTGGTATATCTATGGACTTACACAACACTACGCTTGTCTTTGTCCAAGACCTCTCTGTGGTGACAGTGGTTTTGTGTGTAGTGTTTGTGTGTTGTTGTTGTTGTTGATGTTGTTATTGTCCTGCTGTGTGTACTGTACCATACACTGTAGAACGGTTAGGACCCCCTTAAATGTTCATTAATCAACAACAGCCGTTAGCTTCAGCTAGCATGCTAACACTGAGCCGTGTTTTAGCTTCTTTAATCAATAACTCTACTTCCTGTTCGACATGAGCTCTGCACCCGGCCGAGGGACCCCTGAACCCCGCGTTATTCAAAGAGAAGTGAAGAGAGGAAGAGAGGAAGAGAGGAAGAGAGGAAGAGAGGAAGAGAGGAAGAGAGGAAGAGAGGAAGAGGAGGCTAACTTATAAACAGACTTACCTTCGAACCTCCGCCATTTCTGTTTTCAAATATCCGCGGCAACACGAGCGATGTGATTGGCCGCCTGACGGTGACGCTGCAGATCGTCTCAGGCTCCATCAGGTTGGACCAAGCCCCCAGGAAGTGCGCCGGACTCAGATGAAAATATTCGTGCTGGCTGTCACTGTCACTACCCGATCCGTCCACCTGCCCGATCGGTACTGCGCATGTGCGAGATGGTCCGCCAGGATTGCACAACTCCGTACGGCAACCCAACTAGGACACTCACACACACACACACACATAATATATTTATTGTTGTGCCTTTTTATTTGCTCGTATTATGATGGGATATGGTTTAATTTAGTAAATGGTTGTGCGTTGTGTGTGAAAAATGTATATATCTAAAAAGTGTGTTGGTGTATGATCACATTTGTATATGAAAATGTCTGAAGTTAATAAATACATTCTCAGTGTTCAAGTCAATCACTGAAGATGCTTACGATATCATAAAATCTAAGTGTTAATGATTGTCAGTAGAGATGGGATGGCAGAAGGTGCTATATATATATATATATATATATATATAATTCCAAAGCTGGTAAAGACCTTTCAAATTTAGCAATAATAGTCATATAAGAAAAGTGCTGATCTAATAACAGAGATTAGTTATTGAATGAACTTTTTGTAATTTTATTTCATTTTAAATAAAATGAAAGACATTCACAGTTAATGTAATTAGATATATATTGTTAATATGTTATGTTATTATGTTGCATTGTTGGAGAAGCCTGTGACATAAGATTTTCAACTGCATAATTACTCTGTAGCTATGTCAGATTGACAATAAAGAACCTTGAACCTTGAACCTTGAACCTATACATTATTAATGCCATACATTTTTAAATGTAATTAGATATACATTATTAATGCCATACATTTTTGCATAAATATTTATTCAGTATGATAGCTGTCTAACAGAAGTTAAATCCATTTCTCACTTATTCTGACAATGTACTCAGTGGCGACTGGTCATTAGGGGCAGGTGGGGCACAGCCCCACCTAGTGTCAGCAGAAAGTATTACAAATAATGATTACAAAAATGCAAAAAAATAAATAAAAAAATATATAAAATATATTTTAAGATCATGTTTAATCATCTGATTCGTCTGTACATTGCTGTTTTAGTCTGTGTTCTTCTAATTAGTGTGTCTACAGTCACAGTGTGTGCCTATTGAGCTGTTTAGAGCCATGTGGGACAAAACCTGATTATGCCCCTTCCTCTCGCTGTGAAGTCAATGGTGACTGTAAAAACTACACTGCGCATGCTCAGAGTATTTTGTAATGAAATGTGTGTGGCAAAAAAATAATGACCAGAGGGGCATGGAGCTACCATCCCCACCATACGTCATCTCAAATCATTCAGAGCTGATTGGCTGTAAGTACGTGTGCCGCGAAAAGTGTGCTGTGTGAAGAGGAGACGAGAGAGCTGCAGTGGTGCGTCCTAAAACCAGGAAGTAAGCACAAAAAAGCAATGAGATTTCTCCAGAGGATTTTAGAAATAGCTCGAAATAAGATCTGTGGGAAACGTACCTGTTAGATAAATGCACGTTTTGATTAGCCGGATAACATCCACATGTCTACCCTACTTTTATCATTTTTTAATCATAAATCTATGGATTAGATTTATGATAGACTTTTGAAACTACGAGAAGATAAGGAGGACTTTTACAAAAAAGTAATAGACATTTTTGTCCAGAAGGATAGGCAAATGGACTTCATCTTCAAGTCAAGGTAAGACCACCATTTTATTGAAAATGGGATCTTACTAAGAGAGAACAATTCAATATTTAAATGATAAAATGACATTTTTTGGGTATCCTTTTGTTGAACTGTCTGTTTAAAATTAATCGAAGCATCAGACAAAAAAAGCTTTGGAAAATAATATAATATTTTGGTTTAGGTCAAAATATAATATTTGTAAACCTGAAGAGTCAGTGCGAGTGCCTCACCAGCCATGAACCTCACTGCACGTCACTGCAGAAGCTTATATATAGACATCTACGTTTTTTGTGCCCCACCACTTTTGTACATATAAAAACGCCACTGAATGTACTTAACCCCAAATAAAAGAACCCAATAAAAATAGTTGTTGTTTGATGTTCTTATAAACGAGTCATGTTTATCATAGAACTTGGTTTAATAACCTATTAGTGACGGAGCAACAATATATCCACATGGCTGTTATCATCACAATACACGAACCACGCCTGTAGATCCCTACCACCGGTACGGTGTCTGCAGAAGGACAACAGAGACCAAATGCGAATACTCTACATCCCCTTTCTTTAGCTCTTCCTACAGTAATGAACAAAACTGTTATACTGAACACATACGACAGAACATACAAAATGCTGCGAATGTACACGTTATCAAACTATGTGTGCATTTAGTAACTGATGAACACTACACAATCTCAAAGAATGAGTGTAGCAATTAACTCAGTAATTACTACAGTAACAAAGTAGATTACTAAAATAGAGTACATTTGCACTGTGAAACAAAACTTTAAGTCTCAATATGGCATTACTGTGTGAACTAACAGTTTAGAGTCATTGTCCTCAGAGTGATATGCTTGTGCATACATGACAAAGCTTCAGTCTCTGTATTTGGGATTAGGCTTGATAGCACGGCCTGAGCGTGTCCTGTAGACACTCTCGGGAGTGTCTGACAGCAGTTTATCTGTGGGAACATCAGCCCTCATGTGTTCACTGTTCAGTGATTCCTGTGTGTGTGTGTCACAATCTGTAAACTCAAGTCCTGTGTCTTGATGATCGGTGTCACTTGTAGAGGTGCGTGACGGGACCGGCTCATCTACAGGCAGAATGTGCCTACGATTCCTTCTGTACAGCTTCCCCTCTGAGTGGACGACGTACGACCGGGGTTCCTTGCAGATCTCTTGAATCATTCCAGTCCTGTTGTAACCTTGTGGGGTCTGCATCCTAACAACCTGTCCTTCCATCAAAGGTTGTAGTGGTCGGCTTGACTTATCATAGCACTGTTTTTGATACAACCTCTTGTTTAGAAGCTGGGCTTTTACCTCTTGTGGGTGACGCATATCTGGCTCAAGCAGCTTCACCGAGACTGGGAGTGTTGTACGTGTTTGTCTCGACATCAGTCTCTGTGCAGGAGATCCTAATTTTGTGTCACGTGGTACATTCCTGATGTTTAATAGGTTAAGAAAAACATCAGTTCCATCTCTATGAGATTTCTCCATGAGCTACTTCGCACTGCGCACAGCCCGTTCAGCTAGCCCGTTGGACTGGGGATACTCAGGGCTGCTGGTAATATGAGTGAAGTCCCACTGTGAGGCAAAGTCTTTAAAGCGCTGGCTAGTAAACTGCCTTCCATTGTCTGACATGAGTGTGTGAGGTGCTCCATGAACTGAGAAATGTCTTTTCAGCTTTGCAATGACTGTTGCTGCAGTGATATCACGAAGCATGTCTATCTCATACCAGCCTGAGTATGAGTCCACTAGCACTAAGTATTGCTGATTGTGCCACTCAAAGATGTCAGTTGCTACAGTTGACCACGGCAGGTCTGGAACTGGATGCAGATGGAGTGGTTCTTTCTGCTGGTGTGGTTTTGTGCTGTTACATACAGAGCATGACTGTATTTCTGTGTGAATGTTGTCTGTCATATTTGGCCAGAAAACAATGCCACATGCTCTCCGCTTTGTAGCTTCTTCACCAGGATGTCCTCTGTGCATGATGCTGATGTATTCTTTCTGTAGTGACAGAGGAATAACTGCTTTGTGACCCTTCATTATGACTCCATTTTCAACAATCAGTTCGTCTCTGAAAGGAAAATACGGTCTAATGGCATGTGGAAGATTATGCTGTTTAGCGGGCCACCCGTGTCTGACAGTGGTGCTGAGTGTTTGCAGAGTCATGTCTTCAGCGGTGTGCCTCTCTAACTCTTCTAAGTGAGAAGAAGATATGTAGTTAACAGTCATTACGTCGAAGTTGTCCTCTTCTTCAGCTTGCTGAACTGTGGAGCTGCGGGGAGCTCGCGACAAAGTGTCAGCCAGGAACATTTGCTTTCCGCATTTGTACACAAGAGTGATGTCGTACTTTTGTAGTCGTAGCATCATTCTTTGTAGTCTTGCAGGTGCTGTGTGTATGGGCTTTTTTAGTATGGTGACGAGGGGCTGGTGGTCTGTTTCAATAGTGACTGGTTTACCATAGATATAGTCATTGAATTTTGAACATGCAAAGACCACTGCCAACAGCTCTTTTTCGATTTGAGCATATCTGGTTTCCGTTTCAGTTAGCGTACGCGAAGCATACGCTACGGGTTTTCCTTCCTGCAAACACGCTGCACCGAGTCCGTACTGTGAAGCGTCACAGGTAAGTGTCACTGGCTTGTCAACATCATAGTATAGCAACACCGGTGGGCAAGACATGCGTTTCTTTAAATCTTCAAAAGCTTTCTGCTGCTGTTCATGCCATGTCCATTCTGTGTCTTTATGTGTGAGCTGCCGTAGTGGAGCTGACAGCTGGCTGAAGTTTGGTATGAACTTTCCAAGGTAGTTGACCATCCCCAGAAATCTTTGCAAGGCTGGGACGTCTGCTGGCACTGGCATCTCACTAATAGCACTTGTTTTGGAAGGATCTGCTTTGAGTCCTTCACTGGTGAAAACATGGCCGACATAGCCGACTTGGCTTAGCCTGAACTTGCACTTGAGGGGGTTAAGCCTTAAATTAACCTCCCTGACCCTGTTAAGCACTTTTCTCAGGTTGGCGTCGTGCTCTGCAACATCTTTACCTGCAATAATGATATCATCAACGATGATTTCACAGGGGTATCCAGCGAAGATCTGTTCCATGGAGCGCTGGAACACCTCGCTGGCAGAATTGATTCCAAATGGCATTCTTAGAAATCTGTAACGACCAAAAGGGGAGCTGAAAGTGGTTAACATGGAAGACTTATGGTCGAGTGGAACCTGCCAGAAGGATCTCTTTGCATCCAATACAGAAAACATAGTTGCTTTTGACATGTGTGTAGCGACTTCTTCCACAGTACGCATAGGATGGTGTGGTCTTTTCAGAGCAGTGTTCAAGTCTCTTGGATTAATGCATATCCTGATTTCTTGTTTGTCCTTTTTGTTAGTGGCTACCATAGAGGACACCCAATCAGTGGGCTCTGAGACAGGAATAATGACGCCCAGTTCCTGCATCTTGTCGAGTTCAGCTTTGACTCTGTCTTTCATAGCCAAAGGTATGCGATGTGCAGGACGAACGACTGGTTTTATATCCGGGTCGAGAGTCATGGAGTACGTCACAGGTAGCTTTCCAAGCTCATCAGAGAAGAGATCGCTGTATTCTGTTTGGATCTCAACTGAAAAATCATCGTCAGTGGGGCTTAATTGATGAACTGCTTCACTGAATGAAACTAGTCCCATCTGTCTGCACGCTCGTAGCCCAAGCAGTGGCAGGACATCCTCTTCTACAATGTAGAATGGTAGTGTGTGGACTTTTCCCACTAGGTGGCACTGCAGTCTGACTACGCCCGCAGTTTTGATTTTGCTTCCACCATATGCAACAAGATTAGTGGATTTAAAACACGTCTGTATTTGTTCATCTCCTTTTATCACATTGAGTGATATTTTTGACAGAACATTGCACTTCGCACCAGTGTCTACTTTCATCTCAACTATATTGTCATTAATGTGCACAGTGACAAAAGCCTCATCATTTTTTTCTATCTGTGCATCAGTTGCATCAACACTTACTTGCAGTGTTACGCCGTCAACATAGAATGTTTCATCTGTAGTTGTATCAGCTTGATCAGGTTCGAGTTGATGAACTATCCTCCTGGGCCCTTGCTTGTTATATGTTTGTTGTATGGACTTGCAACACTTTTTGAAATGATTCCACTTTTTGCAGGTATGACACTGTTGACCATTAGCTGGACAGCTCTTTGCTGCATGACTACCTCCACAGTTGTAGCAGTTGGAAATACAGCTAAATCCATGTGTATCTGCCTGAGGTTTCCTTTTGTTGTCGTATCTTCGTGTTCCTCTCTGGTAAGTCTGAACTGAATCCACGTTTGTGGCAGAGTGCTGTGGCATAGCTAGCGTTTTATTGTGCTCTTCAGTCATCTCATGGATCTGACATATGTTAACAGCTTTGATTAGTGTTAAATCACAGTCTCTCAGGAGCACTTAAATTGTCATTACTGATACCACAGACCAGTCTATCTCTGATTAGTTCTTCATAGAGATTCCCAAATGTGCAGCTCTTTGCCTTGATCCTTAAAGCACTGACATACGATTCAATTGGCTCACTAACATTTTGATTCCTTGTATTGAACTTGTGTCTTTCCATAGTGACATTTGTTTGAGGGTTGCACATCTCCCTAAATGTTCTTTTCAGACACTCCGGGTCTTCTTTAGACTCAGCATGAGTGATGATGGGCGCATCCACGCCAGGACCCCTCACTTCAGCCGCATAGACGAAAGACCTCTCGCGCTCGATGGCCTCTGGTCCCGCTATATTGAGGAGAATGTATGCTCGTGTGCGTGCTGGCTTGTCATAGTGTGCCGCCGCGATGAAAATGTCATATTCCTGTTCGAATATTCGCCAGTTCTCTGCGATGTTACCGTCAAAGACGAGTGGGTCGGGTCTCCGGAATCCATCCGCCATGTTAGCTTAGCTGCATGCGTCGTGGAGCAGGCTTAGTTGTCCTCGCAAACGTCACCTAGACGTGAAAAATCAGCCGAAAAAAAAAACTCCGGAGACTTGACTTCTGACACCATGTTTGATGTTCTTATAAACGAGTCATGTTTATCATAGAACTTGGTTTAATAACCTATTAGTGACGGAGCAACATTATATCCACATGGCTGTTATCATCACAATACACGAACCACGCCTGTAGATCCCTACCACCGGTACGGTGTCTGCAGAAGGACAACAGAGACCAAATGCGAATACTCTACAGTTGTTAAATAATAGTGAAGTCACGTTGTAATAACAATAACTCATCTCTCTCGGTTTTTTTAGTTTTCTTTGTGTGCTTTGCCAAAAGCCACTGTGTCAAGTGTCCTAGTTGGGTTGCCGTACGGAGTTGTGCAATCCTGGCGGACCATCTCGCACATGCGCAGTACCGATCGGGCAGGTGGACGGATCGGGTAGTGACACTGGCCAAACGGCGGTACTACACTTCCTTTTGGTTGCCAGGCCCGGAAACACTTTTTCCCATTGACTTACATGGGGAAAGAGTGGTCTGTAAATCGTTGGATAACTTTTTTTAAACTAAATAAACTACCCAGTATGAACACTTGTATAGCCCTTATTAAAAACATTCGTTCCTCAAGTTGTAAAAATGTGCTAATAACGTTATTCTGAGAGTTATTTCCCTCTGCATTATGAACGCGCATCTAACTCACGGGACCGCGCCGCCTGGCACGTTCATGTTACGTGTTCAGCACTACATGCGTTTATCTTTACCCATGGATGCACAATAAGAACGGACCCATATCGCCTTACTGCCAGCCCACGGAGCTGTAATAATGGATATATTGCACATGTTTGCTGTAATTCATCATTTGTAAAATATTATACTACATGGGCTGTATGATTAAATCTTGTACCGTAAATGTTGTATTAAATAAAGTTAATATTACCGACGTAGATTAACGTCCCTGTAGCTTCTTATTGCACTAAGAAGCTTATTGCACTGTATATATATATATATATATATATACATATATATATACATATATATATATACAAATATACATATATATATATACGATGCAGGGTGTGTCTCTAGACATCTTTAGACTGGAATAGCGGGGCCCAGTATGTGAACTCGCCTCGCAGGTGCACACGCCAGGACATCAGACTCCAGAGGAAACTTGCTCGAGTCCGAGTCCAAGTCGGAGCGTCAATGTACAAGTCGAGTCCGAGTCATCGTGGGGGGGGAAATGTCCGAGTCCAAGTCATCGTACGCGAGAATTCACGAGTCCATGTCCAAGTCATCGTACGCGAGAATTCACGAGTCCATGTCCAAGTCATCGTGCGCGAGAATTCGCGAGTCCAAGTCCGAGTCGCGTCAATCAGTGCGCGAGTCCGAGTCGAGTCACGAGTCCCGAAAATCGGCACTCGAGTCCAACTCGAGTCCGAGTCCAGGACTCCATCTATGTGCTTAGGGTCATTGTCCTGTTGAAAGGTGGACCTTCGCCCCAGTCTGAGGTCCAGAGCACTCTGGAGCAGGTTTTCATCAATGATCTCTCTGTACATCGCTGCATTCATCTTTCCCTTGATTCTGACTAGTCTCCCAGTTCCTGCTGCTGAAGAACCTCCCACAGCATGATGCTGCCCCCATGCTTCACTGGAGGGATGGTGTTGGCCAGGTGATGAGCGGTGCCTGGGTTCCTCCAGACATGATGCTGCCCCCATGCTTCACTGGAGGGATGGTGTTGGCCAGGTGATGAGCGGTGCCTGGGTTCCTCCAGACATGATGCTGCCCCCCCCATGCTTCACTGGAGGGATGGTGTTGGCCAGGTGATGAGCGGTGCCTGGGTTCCTCCAGACATGATGCTGCCACCATGCTTCACTGGAGGGATGGTGTTGGCCAGGTGATGAGCGGTGCCTGGGTTCCTCCAGACATGATGCTGCCCCCATGCTTCACCGGAGGGATGGTGTTGGCCAGGTGATGAGCGGTGCCTGGGTTCCTCCAGACATGATGCTGCCCCCATGCTTCACTGGAGGGATGGTGTTGGCCAGGTGATGAGCGGTTGCCTGGGTTCCTCCAGACATGATGCTGCCACCATGCTTCACTGGAGGGATGGTGTTGGCCAGGTGATGAGCGGTGCCTGGGTTCCTCCAGACATGATGCTGCCACCATGCTTCACTGGAGGGATGGTGTTGGCCAGGTGATGAGCGGTGCCTGGGTTCCTCCAGACATGATGCTGCCACCATGCTTCACTGGAGGGATGGTGTTGGCCAGGTGATGAGCGGTGCCTGGGTTCCTCCAGACATGATGCTACCACCACCATGCTTCACCGGAGGGATGGTGTTGGCCAGGTGATGAGCGGTGCCTGGGTTCCTCCAGACATGATGCTGCCCCCATGCTTCACCGGAGGGATGGTGTTGGCCAGGTGATGAGCGGTGCCTGGGTTCCTCCAGACATGATGCTGCCCCCATGCTTCACTGGAGGGATGGTGTTGGCCAGGTGATGAGCGGTGCCTGGGTTCCTCCAGACATGATGCTGCCCCCCATGCTTCACTGGAGGGATGGTGTTGGCCAGGTGATGAGCGGTGCCTGGGTTCCTCCAGACATGATGCTGCCACCATGCTTCACTGGAGGGATGGTGTTGGCCAGGTGATGAGCGGTGCCTGGGTTCCTCCAGACATGATGCTGCCCCCATGCTTCACTGGAGGGATGGTGTTGGCCAGGTGATGAGCGGTGCCTGGGTTCCTCCAGACATGATGCTGCCCCCATGCTTCACTGGAGGGATGGTGTTGGCCAGGTGATGAGCGGTGCCTGGGTTCCTCCAGACATGATGCTGCCCCCATGCTTCACTGGAGGGATGGTGTTGGCCAGGTGATGAGCGGTGCCTGGGTTCCTCCAGACATGATGCTGCCACCATGCTTCACTGGAGGGATGGTGTTGGCCAGGTGATGAGCGGTGCCTGGGTTCCTCCAGACATGATGCTACCACCACCATGCTTCACCGGAGGGATGGTGTTGGCCAGGTGATGAGCGGTGCCTGGGTTCCTCCAGACATGATGCTGCCCCCATGCTTCACTGGAGGGATGGTGTTGGCCAGGTGATGAGCGGTGCCTGGGTTCCTCCAGACATGATGCTGCCACCATGCTTCACTGGAGGGATGGTGTTGGCCAGGTGATGAGCGGTGCCTGGGTTCCTCCAGACATGAGTATTTGTTTTCTCATGGTCTGAGAGTCCTCTAGGTGCTCCATGTGGGCTTCCATGTGCCTTTTGCTGAGGAGTGGCTTCCTTATGGCCACTCTACCATAAAGGCCTGATTGGTGGAGTGCTGCACAGATGGTTGTCCTTCTAGAAGGTTCTCCCATCTCCACAGAGGAACCCTGGAGCTCTGTCAGAGTGATCATCAGGGCCCAGAGTTCAACACTTTTAATCTCAATCAGATCCGATCAGATTTTGAAATCCCATTTGTTGTGATCCAGGATCAGACAAGTCGGCCAGATGTTGTCCCTGTAGTTCAAAGCAATTCAGGATAGGATCACCCTGATCCAGATTACCACTTTTCAAGATGACTAGATCCTGAATATCAGTGCTTTAATCCTACCGATCTCCATCTATTAAAAATAATACAAGGAAGACAAGAGACCACATTGCAGAGACATCTGTAATGTCTATTTATATTTTTAAATTTGAAAGGTGATGACAGATGGACTTTTTTTTTGTTGAAGATATTTTTTCTTTAATCTAAATTACATTTTATGAGCATACATATTTATGTCATCAACATTTGGTTGAAAACAAAATAGGCCACAAACGTGACCAAAAAATGAAAAATGAAATGGATTTCCCATGAAGGCTAAAAATGGTGTATTATTTCAGTTAACAAACTTTGCCATCTTATTTATTTATATTTATATTATTTTTAAATAAATTGTACAGTTCATTTTGCTCTGGTAATCCACTGGAAACCCACCCCTCTGGTGGGATCAGGATAATCCAGTTGTTTGGGATCAAACTGATCCCAATCCTGTGTTGTCGGGTTGAACTACCCGTTTTGAAGATTTGATCCAGATTAAAGCTTGGATTGGATTTCCTGATCTGATCGATACCAAAGTGATCCTTATCCTGTTTTTTGGTTTTGAACTACCCAAAATCCAAATCTGATCCGATCAGAAAGGGATTAAAAGTTTTGAACTCCTGGGAGTCCCAGCAGCTTCTACTGAAGCCTTCCCCAACTCCAGGGACTTCCGGCCGGGGACTCCGGGTGGCAGTATACGCCGTGAAGTTGTTTGCAGCCTGCCAGTAAACCCAAAGCAGAAGAAGAAGAAGTGACGTCAGCAGCTCATTTGCGTAATCTTCCCTCAGGGAAAAGTACTCCGGTGTGAACGCGATTGGTACTTAGTGCCCTGGGGTAATTAGTGCCGGGGCACTAAGTGCCGGCACTAAGTACTGCAAAGTACGTGGTGTGAACACGGCTAATAGGTGAAGGTGTCCTAACACTTTTGTCTCCCACAGTTCATACTTAGTTTCATCTCCGTCGAACATCAGTCGAGGCAACCTGCTTGTCCCTCGATGATCCATGTTAGCTTATCTTGCTATCCCGTTAGCACGCTGTTCGCCGTGACTTTCTGACGGTGATAAATGTTCAAACTTCTCCCCGAATGACTCCTGGGCCCATAACCTGTTAAGGTTTAGGATGGCAGCTTCTTCATACGCTGCACTCGGAGAGAAATAGTGGAGACGGAGACGATGAACTGTTTAGCCCTTGAGCATGATTTATTTCCCTCTGCTTCTCAGGTGATTCCTTCACTCAGCCGAGCTAACTTAGAATGACACACATGGTGGCCGTTTCTCAATTGCGAGGATACTGGCTTCCAAGCCAATATTTCAAGGATGCTACGTCATCGAGTGCCGCCTAAGGACTGTTCCAATCTCCAGCATACTTGGAATTCCACCGAGGCCGCGTCCTTGGTTTGGGGGAAATTTCGAGGCTGCACATTGGTAGACTTCGCGTCCTTAAAATCCCCACAATGCTTTGCGCATGGACCAATTTCCCCAAATCTGTGGCGGAAGATGTAAGGCGGGGCCTCTCATATAACGCACACCTGCACACTTGCTAGCCTGTTCCACTCTTCGTTTTCCGAATGCCAGGAAGGATTCTTGCCTTGCTTCTGAAGCAAGATGCTCGGCTCGGCTGTGCTACCAAGCCAGTGTACTCGCGATTGAGAAACGGCCAGACAGTGTACAGTGCATCAGGTGAACACACCCTCATTTACATGACGCAAGCCTGCGTCCTTCGGTAGCACGTAACGCACACAGTGCGTTACAATGCCTCACAGTGGTACAATAACAATATTACATCCCTACAGTACAGAATAGACATCATCTCTCTATACAAGGTTCAAGGTTCAAGGTTCTTTATTGTCAATCTGACATAGCTACAGAGTAATTATGCAGTTGAAAATCTTATGTCACAGGCTTCTCCAACAATGCAACATAATAACATAACATAATAACAATAAGAGCAAGAGCAATACAAAAAGAAAAATAGTTATAAAATAAAGTGATGATGTGGAATAGTGCAGTACGAGTCTATATACAAGTTATTGGAATGATATATATATATATTAGGTATTAGATACATACTACTGAGTAGCAGATGAATGTTTGAAGTTGTTTCAACAGTTCAATTTTTTAACAGTCATAACATATCATAACTGAGGACATATGTAAACATTTCCCTTAAAAACACGTTTGCAAACAATTCTTTAAAAATGTTTTCACTTTGTCATTATGGGGTAGGTGTGGGATATTGAGAACAGAAATGAATTGAATCCATTTAGAAATAAGGCTGTAACATAACAGAATGTGAAAACAGTGAAGGGGTATGAATACTTTCCGGATGCACTGTAATGTAATATATGCAGTGTGTTGTATGTAGTATGTTGAAGCATGCAGTGTTTGTGTAATATATATGCAATATATGTAATATTTCTGCAGCGCGCGGTGCAACTGCAGTGTTGTCCTCGCGCTCCGGTCACGTGCTGCTGTGTTTACTGAGAGCTCTGCAGCAGAGAGAGAAGCTAACGGCTAGCAGCAGAGAAGCTAACGGCTAGCAGCTAACAGCAGAGCTAACGGTCCTCTGGGGATAAAACAGCACCGAGAGGAGCATGAGCACACCGGACACACCCGGTGCATTATGAGCTAACGGAGCCGGGAACAGGTGCGAGTTCATCGTCTTATAATGTTATATATCACCTGGGTGCTGCTAATGGTAACACACAGCTAGCCGCGGAGCTAACACACAGCTAGCCGCTAAGCTAACCTTACATTAGGTAAATATCAGGTGTTCCCACAGACTGCGTGAGGCTGAGACTCTGCCGGACAGTTTGTTTGTTAATAAACACAAACACTGGACACAGAGGCTTGTCTTTAAATACCTTTATTCATCCTTAGCCTAAAGGTTGTGTATTTTATTACTAATGAGTTATTATTTCCTTCTCTATGTAATGCGTTAGTGTACTCTTTATTATTGCATGTCTTGTTTACCTGCCACCTTCAACGCCATTTAAGACAAATAACGGAATTCTGATTAAAGTGTTAGCTCATCAGAGCTGCTAAGGTGTTAGCTTAGCATAGATGCTGAAGTGTTGGCTTCTCTTCAGCAGAGATTCGGTGCTGATGATGCTAACAGCTAATGTGGCTAACTGACGATGCTGAGAAACGGTGATGAACTCTCAGTGACCTGCTCAGGTGTCTGCAGGTTCAGCAGTCTGTGTGTGGACCCTAACCCTGCTCAGGTGTCTGCAGGTTCAGCAGTCTGTGTGTGGACCCTAACCCTGCTCAGGTGTCTGCAGGTTCAGCAGTCTGTGTGTGGACCCTAACCCTGCTCAGGTGTCTGCAGGTTCAGCAGTCTGTGTGGACCCTAACCCTGCTCAGGTGTCTGCAGGTTCAGCAGTCTGTGTGTGGACCCTAACCCTGCTCAGGTGTCTGCAGGTTCAGCAGTCTGTGTGTGGACCCTAACCCTGCTCAGGTGTCTGCAGGTTCAGCAGTCTGTGTGTGGACCCTAACCCTGCTCAGGTGTCTGCAGGTTCAGCAGTCTGTGTGTGGACCCTAACCCTGCTCAGGTGTCTGCAGGTTCAGCAGTCTGTGTGTGGACCCTAACCCTGCTCAGGTGTCTGCAGGTTCAGCAGTCTGTGTGTGGACCCTAACCCTGCTCAGGTGTCTGCAGGTTCAGCAGTCTGTGTGTGGACCCTAACCCTGCTCAGGTGTCTGCAGGTTCAGCAGTCTGTGTGTGGACCCTAACCCTGCTCAGGTGTCTGCAGGTTCAGCAGTCTGTGTGTGGACCCTAACCCTGCTCAGGTGTCTGCAGGTTCAGCAGTCTGTGTGTGGACCCTAACCCTTATGAAGTCTGAGGACTGTAGTTTCATGTTCACAAAGAGAAAGAGAATCACACCTCTGGTTTAATAAGCCTGAAATATATTGTGTTTTTATCTCTGTCTCTGTTGGGATGCTCACAGCTCTGTGTGTGTGTGTGTGTGTGTGTGTGTGTGTGTGTGTGTGTGTGTGTGTGTGTGTGTGTGTGTGTGTGTGTGTGTGTGTGTGTGTGTGTGTGTGTGTGTGTGTGTGTGTGTGTGTGTGTGTGTGTGTGTGTGTGTGTGTGTGTGTGTGTGTGTGTGTGTGTGTGTGTGTGTGTGTGTGTGTGTGTGTGTGTGTGTGTGCTCAGGTGTGTGTTGTACCAGCAGCAGGATGCCAATCCCTCCTCCACCAGGGGGACCCCCTTCACCCCCCACCTTCAGCCAGGTAACACACACACGTAAACACTGTAGTTTTGCAGCAGCTTTTGAAAGCTGTATGTTCAGTTTTAGGCCCCGGCCCCACGGGAACGCATACGGCAAAACGCATAGGATTAACGCAAACGCACCGGATTGTGTCAAGCTCCACGAGACGGCTCCGTTTAGCTCCAACCGCTGGAAAAGCTGCAGTACATATGCCGAGCCTGTACGTGGCGCTGTAACTTCCTCCACAAAAGCAGCGAAGAAGAATGGTTGTCATGGCTGCACTTCTGTTTATTCTCCGCGGTGGGGACCGACAGAACCGGGCAGAGTTTTTCGCCGGTCAGCGTGTGTTAAAGTTTAAATCTTCATGCTTCCTCATGCAGCAGCTGATCCAGTAATGATGACCCGACAGTAAAAATAAACATATTTATAACTAGTTTAGTTTGAGAGGTAATTAAAATAGCTAAGGGTGGTGATCTGACTTGAAGTGTGTGTTTTGCTCCGGCTGCATCACAGCGGGAGGAGCTGCGTGTCTCCGTCCTGTCAGATTAGACTTCACTCGCATTTATGTCCATATCGAGATAAAGATCAATAATCTGAATTCAGGGTGCAGTGTACTTTGACGCGGGGGTGAGCAGCAGAGGTGGGGAGAGGCGGGGCTATTGAGTCGTCATTATCAGAAACGGATGACCGTATAGGCGACCCCACGGCCCCGTTGGACCCCCCAGAGCGCTCCGTTCACACATCTATCCACCTTTGTCGTTGTCGTTTGCAGGGTCCGTTTCTACCGTTCCGTTACGGCGTCGTTGAGCTTAAAGGGCTATACGCAAGAGAAATATGCGGATTCAACCCGTTTTCGTTCCCGTGGAGCCTAGGCCTGAAGCTCAAGCCGGGGGCCAGTGAGAGTTTTCTAACGTAATGAATGATTCCCTAGGCGAGCAGCGCCCCCCCCCTGCTGAGTGCTGAGGAGGCTCCGGACCGCCACCCCCTGCTGAGCGACCTCCTCCTCTCCTCCAGGCTCAGGACGGTGTCTCTGGTGAACGACCGCAGCGCGCCGATGCTGGACAGTAAGAGCCAGACACAGACTGATCACCCATACATTCGCTTATACCAATACCTGCAGCAGCCGCACGGCCAGCAGGGGGCGCCGGAGAACACCAGGACAACGTTTGAACTAGAGAGTAAGACGACTTTGTGATGTTAGCGCCACCTGCAGGAGGCTCAGGGTCGCCGCTGAGTTATCAAACTGATTTACAGCCGATTACTGCTCAGCGGAGAACCTCAGGGAACCTTCACAGCGGAGAACCTCAGGGAACCTTCACAGTCCACTTAGTGATTCCTGAGATGTTGAGACGCCCAAAGTGTTTTCAGAATGAGAACCAGAATACCTCCATCAGTCCCACAGAGGAGACATTCACATCAGCAGAGAGACAGCTTCATGCTGACTCAGAAGCATGCAGAACATCCTGTAACAGCTCTGAGGAGGGGAGAGGAGAGAGGAGAGAGGAGAGAGGAGAGAGGAGAG